ACCTTGAATGGAACCACCATTTGACCCAGTTATCCCACTCTGGGTATATATCCAAAGGAATTAAACTCAACATATTGTAGTGATGAGGCCACGTTAGTGTTCATAGCAGCTCAGTTCTCAATAACTAAGGTATGGAACCAACCTAGGTGTCCTTCAGTAGATGAATGGATAAAGAAAATGTGTTACATATACACAATGGAATATTACTCATCCTTAAAGAAGAATGAAATTATGGCATTTGCTGGTAAATTGATGGAATGGTAGACTATCATCTAAAGTGAAATAAGCCAATTTCCAAAAATGAAAGGCCAAATGTTCTCTCTGATATGTGGATGCTGACTCACAATAGGCCGGGCGCCAGGAGGAAGGAGTGGAGGTTCACCGGATTGGAACAGGGTGGATTGGAGGGAAAGGGAGTTGGTATGGGAATGAGAAAAACAGTTGAATGAATTGGACATAACTTTCCCTTGTTCATATATGAGTACACATCTAGTGTAACTCCACATCATGTACAACCACAAGAATGGGAAGTTATACTTCATGTATGGATGATATATTAAAATACATTGTAATGTCATATATAACTAAAACGAACAAATAAAAAAGTCATCTTCATATATATGTTGATTGCTTCTCATTTAGACAGCATAAGAAAAATCTCCATAGTGGCTTTTAAATAAAAGTGGCTATCTGATTTGCTTTTCATTTCAGAGGATGCTAAAGGCACACTTTCATTGATGCCTGAATTCAAAGTTCGAGAGAGAGCGTTGTTGGAGGCATTACATCGCTTTGGCATGACAGAGGAGGGTTGTATCCAGGCATGGTTCTCTTTTCCCCATTCCATGCGCTTATTCTATATTCATGCATATAGCAGCAAAATTTGGAATGAGGCAGCGTCTTACCGACTTGAAACCTATGGATCAAAAGTAGTGGAGGGTGATTTGATCTGTTTGGATGAAGATGTTGATGAGCATTTTCCAAGTACTAAAGTAAGTATCATTCATTGAGGAGATTTAATTATCATATCAGAGACATTAATTTTCAGAACCTCTGATTTTGGAAACACTTTCAAACTAAGCATACTTTTTATTTATTTTTACTTAGTATTGATCATCTGCTTCTATTCTCTGTCAATTGAGGATTAACAAGTTAGAAAATGGAAAAATATTGGGTTTGAGGATGTGGCTCAGTGGTGAAGTGCTTGCCTCGCATGTGTGAGGGACTGGGTTCAATCCCCAGCACCACATAAAAATGAATGAAGATACTCTGTGTTCATCTACAACTAAATAAATATTTTAAAAAAAGGAAAATGGAAAAATAAAAATAGTAAGTGATATGGAGTGAGAATGGTACGTGGTGCCATTTAAAACTTCCTTTAAAGAATTGACTTTAAAAAAAAATCACATGAGCAATGCACAAAACAAGAAAAATTAAAGTCAAAACATAGCAGTTGGGGCTTCATTCCTTTAGCTACACTAATTTGATTCCCTCCTTGTCTCTGCAAAATCAACCTCTGTTGATCGGCATTTGACTTTCTAGATTTTTCTCCATGTTTTTACATAAATATCCACAGAAAGTGGGGTTTTATTCCATTAGTTAACATTGAGAAAATAAAAGGCAAGGCTTAGAAGCACAAAACTTAAAATGTCAAAAGAAAAGTAAGTTTTATAGTCATGATACACAGAATACGTAATATTATGTTTCTTTTCTATAAATGTGATTTTATGTAAATATGATTTCATAACTGCCTTTTTTCCTCTTAACTATGTTTTTTATTTCATAGTAACATTTAAAAAAATTTTTTTAATTTGTTCTAATTTGTTATACATGACAGTAGAATGCATTTTTGACACATTGTATACAAATGGAGCACAACTTCTCATTCCCCTGGCTGTATATGGTGCAGAGTCACACCAGTAGTGTAATCATACATGTATATAGGGTAATAATGTCCATCTCATTCCACCATCCTTCCCATTTCTACATCCCCTCCCCACACCTCACTCCCTTCTACACAATCTAAAGTTCCTTCATTCTCTTCTACCCCCATCCCAATTATGGATAAGCATGCACTTATCAGAGAGAACATTTTATAAGCCTTTGGTTTTGGGGGATTGGCTTATTTCACTTAGCATGATTTTTCTCCAGCTCCATCCATTTACTTGCAAATGCCATATTTCATTCTTCTTTAAGGCTGAGTAATATTCCATTGTGTATATGTACCACATTTTCTT